TGATATTCATTATGTTCATATATGAATGTAAACAGTGTAAACAGAAAACTAAGAAATATTTACACCAAAACGAAACCTTTTCTGCTTTTAGAATCTGATTTGGTAATATGTCATTGGTATCATTTTTTCAAAATTAGCAATTGAATATCATTTCTATTCCTTTTAGTCTGTTAGAGTTTACTAGGGAGAAAATGGGGCAAATATCCTTCATTAATTCTTGCTGTAGTCTACCTTCCCTCTAAGAGATTTTTCAAGGCTATTCCCTTATTAACTTATACTTTACCTGGTCATACCAATTTTTTAGGATTGTAGAGATGAAACAAGTATTAAAATTCATTATCATTTTCATTTTTAAATAAGTAAAATGAAGCCCAGAGACTTTGGCTTGTGTCCAATGCTGCCTGAACAGTGAAACAGGCAGGTTTAGAGCACCAGTTGGCTGCCCCGTCCTGAGGTGCTTTATGCTTCCTACAGCCTGGCATTGCTGATGAAATTCTTCAACTGAAGTTCAGATGCATGTATTATGCATGTGCATTGTGTCTGTGTTTTCAGAGAGTTATAGAAAAAAAAAGTTGTTTCCTTAGTATAAACAAATCATCCAGGATAGTTTCTAATGTATCTGATGATGACAGCATGCATTCCAGGAGTGTCTGAGAGCAAAAATATGCTCTTAGAGAAAATTACCTTTTAAAATGTCAGTGCTATTATCTCTCTCTTTAAATGTGGATCCATACACCTAAAATTGTATGCATTTATTTATTTCTAAATTATTTCCTTCTTCTGATTTACCCAGTTTTATGAACTCGAAGTTAAAATTCAAAATTACCGTTAACTCTCTCCTGTCCACCCTTTCTCCCAGCAACCAGTGTTGTTTCATTTCTGTGCTTCTAACTCAGCAAAATGGCTCATCTTAGTTCCTCTTTTTTTCCTCTTCCCACAGCTACATGCACAGTTCTAGCCTTCAGTATTTTCCCATTATTTCCCTTCTGGAAAGAGCTTCCTAATGCACGGCTATGGGTGTACAAATTCAGGTTGATCGTCATGATAGGATAAAGGTGATATGCTGTCTGTACAATCTGCCAGTGTTCTCTCTTAAAAGAAAGAGCAAGGACTTTCTGTGCAAGATGGAAAAAATAGCACAAAAATGAAATAAGATGTTCTGAACAGAGAGAATAGAATCAAACCAATGTAAGTAGGAAGGTAGGGCAATATGGCCCTGAGGGAACTGAAATTAAAAAAAAAGAAAATGTGTATCAGTCACCTGTTCAGTGAGTGACTTTCCTTTTAACGAAGAAAAATATCTAGTACTGGACCCTGCAAAGCTTTGTCTTATATCACAGAAAACCAAGAAGGATCTTCAGGAAAAAGAATGTGTAAATGTGTAGGAACACTTCACTAACATTCTCAAGAAGGAAGAGGTTATGATGGTGGATGACTCCTTGCCAATGTGCGTTCACTTGGGAAAATGCAGATCCGACTTGGCCAATGAGAAATAATTGTATCCTGTTGCAACACCTTATGATGAAGAAAAATCTTTGTCTTTCCAAGCCTACTAACTGCTATGCCTTACTTATGAACTGGGTATAAGTTAGCACTCCTAGAGAAGCCAAATAATTACAGGACCTGACCATTTTCGTCTGTTTGGGACTAAAGTTTGGAAATTTCAACAGAAAAGAAGAATCTCAGAATTGGCCTTAAAAATAGAATGATCATGACCATAAGAACCCACTTCCTTTTCTCCTAGAATATCCAACTAGACAGCATTTTATATTCTCCTTGGCAGCTCGATGTCAACAATAGGATAGAGCGGGATTGACTTCCACCACCTCCACGTCTACTTTCAGAACTTCCCACACATGCTTTTCCATGCACCACCCTCTGTTACTGACTAGATGTAGACATCCGGAGCCACCTTTGAAATCCTGTGTATGAGATGGCAGAGTATTGGTCAGTTTGAATCAGTAAATGTCTGGAGAAGCCTTAAAATGCCCTGAATCGTTTTGGACATGTTTACATGAGTGAACATTAAATACCTTGTCTGTTCAAATGATTATCAGTTGGACTGTTAATTGTTAGACCAGCTAGCATTGTATAGATGGAATCTAGAGGTATATGTAACTAATATGAATGGTATATAGAAGTATTAAACATCTTTCTGGTTTATGGCTCTAAATGAATTTTTAAAACTTTTAGCTGATCAAAAAATGTAGTTTGAAAGGCAGAGATGAGGGATGTGTTTTTGTTTTTGATTTTTTGGCATGAATGGGAGAGTTTTAAAAATTATTTTATAGTAGTTAATAATGACAATATAGAAGAAAAACCAAAAGAAGTGGTAAATAATTCATAGGAGAAATAATGAATCATAAACTAAATACATTCCTTATGCTTTCAGAAGTTTATACACCAAAGAACAGGGTATTATTAATATATTGATGTGGTCTTTATACAGAGAAGTCACTACAACGTGTCAGGTATGTTAAGGTTGAACACAGTTGCTGTGGCATTCTAAAATGATAGAGTTGACAGAAATAAATTGAGGATTGGGTTTATTTGAAAAACAGTGTTATCCACTGTTAAGTTTTGCCTTGTTGATCTTGGTTTGGGACAGGGCTCAAGGATGTATATTTTTGAATAAAGGCACTGTTTTAGTAGCTAATACCTAGTAGTTAGCGATACCTAGCTTCTGGATTAAAAAGCCCACAAAACTCAGTCATTAACATAATAAAAGTTTATTTGTCACTCACACAAATGGCAGTGCAGACCTGATGTCCTTCAAACTATGAATTGGATTCAAGGACATACTTGAAGTTTTTCCTATAACGGGAGGAAGAGTGAAGTCATAGCAAGTTCAGTTTGGCAACAAGGGGTTGACAAGGAAGGAGTCAGAGGACTAACCCTCTCTCTCTCTCCTCCTGGGAAACCTGGAATGTAGAACTGACCCCAGTTGTTATCATCTAGTAAGTGGGACTTCTAATAAACTCATAAATGGTATTTACCAGTGGAAAGATAATAGAGACTCATTAATACATGAAATACTTTTATCAGAATATGTCAGGTCTGTTTAGGTTATTTACTGTAAGTAAATCTGGGCTTATGGATTTGTAGTGATAACTGGCTGGGAACTAGGGTATAGTCGCTTAAGCCATGTGATTAATGTGATCAAAGATGATAATGTTCCTGAACCACTCAGTAATCACTGAGCACTCATTGTTAGAAAAACCTTCACAGGTAGGCATCAAATCAGAATGCATCTTGAAGCCAGAGATAAATAACCATATTGGTCAACTGTTCCAGATAGCCTGTGTCTCCAAGAGGAAAATGCTTCATGTCTTATGAGTGCTTCTGTCCTTTGATTCAGAATGAAATAGAAAACTGAGTGAAAGTTCAGTAGTAAACTGAATGAAAACTTTGTTACTGAGTAAGATCTCCGATTCCTGTGAGTCTGACTTGACAATTCAGCACTCTGCCCTCACAGTGGTATAAATGAATCTGTAGAAGAGAAAACGTAGAACTAATAAAATTTTAAATTATTTCCCTCTCATTTATGGGGAAAAAGCCATACTTAAAAAGTGGATCAAAAGCTGAGATTATTATATGTAAGTTTAGTCAGAAAATTGCAAATGAGAATATGTATTTTCTCTACCTGTCTTCTGATCTGGTTAAGTTGATCAGTTGGGATTGCATTTGGCTGCAACTAACATGATTTAACTAGATGAAATGTTGTTTTGTTTCATTAACCACACCTGAGGAAATCGGAAGCAAATGTTTCAGATCTGCTTTAGAGTTCTCAAGGATGCCGTGCCAAGATTCCAGTTCCCATATCTTTACTAAGTAACTCTTGGCAAATGGCTTCACGCTCATGGCCATAAGACAGCTCTTTATCTCAGGCAGCCCTCTTGTCCACTTTGGAGGAAGATAAAGAAGGAAAGAGGAGGAAGATGTAGTGAGCAAAACATAAAGAAGTTACTAAAAGATGTTCACTTATGTCTCATCATTAGAATTTTTCCATATAACTACCCTTTGTGAAAGTGTCTGTGAAGTTAATTAGTTCTAGCTATGAATGTTGCCATATCTATAAAATCGTGGCCCCCTTAGTAAGAAAAAAAGGAAATGGTAAAAATTGGAAAAGCAATTCTCAGTGTCTACACTACCAAAATTAAAATACATAATATAAACATTTCTAAAGAGACCCTGGAATCACAGTGGATAACATTAGATTGTTATCACAAGTAGTTTTTGAAAGTAGTAAAACATTACAGACTAAATGATCGTGTGAATTTCAGAGGGTGTTTGAATGTGGAGGGTGGCATTTCATAATTGCTGTGTTTATCTTCTAACTTTGAGACATGAGTCTATTGTTTTGCTTTTGTGAATCAGTATGATCCCTCTCCAATCCAAAATGCAAGTTTCTTTTCAGACACATCACAAACCAATTCATTTCAATATTCAAATACCGTCTATGAAGTCTAATTGGCTATCACAGACATATTGAATTAGACTCCATGAAGTCTATGAATCTGAAGATTTTGAGTGTTATCTGATTAGAATAGGCAGCTAGGACTGAAAGTTGAGCTTGATCTTATGTTATAAAGACCTTTCAAATCCTGTCTTTCTCTTCTACCTTTTTCTCAACACCTCTATTAGGTTATTCAGTATTCTTCAACCTACGTCTTATTTCCCGGCCTCTGTTTGTTCCTGTTTCCTAGTATGATAGCACCTAGTAATCAGCCAACCGATTTTAATTACCTTTTTTACCTCAAAGTTCCCTTAGGGGGTCACCACATTCAGGAATCTTTCTTTTGTCTTCCAGGTGGTAATATTCTCATCTTTGGACACAAAGACCATTTTGTGTGTATATTTTATGTCTCTTAAAATACTGTCTTCCAGTCCAATTTTGAAATATCAGAATTTTATCATTTCTTTACTTTCTGGATATTTTCAGAAAGGAACTCTCATACTGAGCATAATATAAATTCATTAAATGTTTGCTACTTTTTTAGAAAATGAACATGAAGGATAATCAGAGAAAGAAGAAGAAAATTAAAATTCAAGGACCGTCATAAAAATAAGCTATATTCAATATTAAGCTATGCCTATTATTGTTATAAGACACATCCCATTGAGATGAATGTATTACAATTTGTGGCAAAGTAAGTATGTTTGTATTTTCTCATTAGAAAATCTTCTGATTAAAGGTCAAATAGTATGATTTTTAATTGGCTTTTATATATGAAAATCTCTTTGTACTCTTGAGGCAGGATCTGCCTACCCCCACCACCTCAGTCAGTGTGTAGATTTGTGTGTGTCTGTGTGTGTGTGTATAAAAATATAAATATGTGTGTGTAAATATATATTTGCATGTATGTGTGTATAAACAGCTAGCTAGGTGGATGTATACACAGACATGATATTATAATGCCTAATTGTGTTTCATGTTACTATATATTATATAATACTTCGTATGATACATATGTGAGATTTTTAATAAAAAATACATTTTCCTTTTAATTTTAGCAGAGTCATTAGAAAAATATAAGTGGAAGAGTTCAATGTCAAAAGGAACACAATTATTATGACTGTAATGGACAAAAAAGAAAGCCTTGGAAATTAAAATCATTGCCAGCTTTCATATTTTTTTTCCATTCCCATTTTTTCTGTGTCTGGGGTCTGAGATAAGTATAAATTAAGAAATCCAAAATGACACTAAGCTTGATGATTAATTGCTAGGATATAAAATAATCAGTGTGTAAAAATCAACTAGGCTGAATGAAATATATTTTCAACCTTCAAGGGTATTGTTTTGTTATCATAACCCCAGCAAAATGAAAATGTGCAATATAAAAAGGATTTGTACTGTGTAATTAATGAAAACCTTGGATACTAACTGTAACAGTAAAATGACAGGACTCCTAGGAGTGAACTGAAGTAGGAATAGAGCGCCTCTATCTGTTCCTTAAAACGAGGCTGAAGACAAATTTGAAGTTGCTTTTTTCAACAGGACCATTGCCGGGTGATCCACTGGACATATCATTACTAGCATCTTTTCTGAGGTAAATCTAATTTCTTCTTTTTCATTTTTCACCAAAAATACTGGTAAAGCCAAGTCTTTTCCTGCCTCCCCCTGTCTTTAATTAATCAGTCCTCAGTAGGGTTCCTCAGGAATGTATCTGAAATTCAAAATATTAAGACTTTTTTCAACTGTTTGTTGGCTTGTTGGCTTATAAGACCCAAACTACTTGACATAGTCTAAAGGGTCCCCTGTAACCTGCTCCTGCATCTTCGCCGGTGACAGCTCCCCAGGCTGTTACTTGCAAGTTTCCCCCACCCTGTGGGAGGTAACTGCTGGTAGTTCTCTCCCTGTCTGAGCTCAGTCCTCTCTACTTAATTGCTCTTCCTCACATTCCAACCCCGTCCAGTTAACCGCACTCTGGAAAACTCATTTCAGGCATTACTTTCTCCAGGGAGCTTTTTGGCTCCCAAGGCTGGATTAGGCGTCCCTTTTCTGTGCCCTCCTAATGCCACATCTTAAAGTCCCCTTTTTATTGAAGTATAACATGCATGCAGAGGAAGGCGAGCCCTGTTAAGTGCACAGCTGGACAACATTCACCAGGAATCAGCACTCAGAGAGGGAAACAGGACGGGGTCCGCACCCTGGAATCCAGCCTCAGGCCACCTGCCAGTCACGACCCCTCCCAAAGACAATCAACTATCCTGACTTCTAGCACTATGGGTTTGTTCCAGCCATTTTTGAATAATGTTATGAGTATAATTTTCAGTTTTGAGTAAAAGTTATCTTTAAATAACAATGGTGTGTTTATATTGTTTAGTTAAGTGATGAAAATGTGATAGATGAAGGAGCCTATCTAATTTGATTTCCTGAAGGCAGCCTTCCTCTGTTTGAATAAATGGAAGTGGTTCATCATACTGCAAAATATTTTAATATGCAGTAATAGGAAGGCTTACAGTTACATACAGTTCTTTAATGGTTTTTCTGTTACTTATGCTACATTGTTCATGCTTCTAAAAAGCATTTTACATAGCAAACCCTCCAGTTTCAGGTCCCTTAATTGTACATTTCCATGATGTATGTATACGATTCTTTGTAGGAAAAAAATAGATAATAAAGAAAAATATACCTCTAAATGTATTAATTTAGATGGTATTTGAAAGATAGTGCATAAAAGGACAGGTTTAATGTCATCTTCCTGATGAACAAGGAAAAAAATTTTAAATAGGAAGGGTGTGTTATGTTTGGGGCAGCTTACAGCAAGTGTGCTTGTCAAGAGCTATTGTGAGTATGAAATTCCTCCTTAATTGCAAACCAAGAACTTAGCTTGCCACCGTTCCATAGATGCTGACAGAAGACATGAGACTCTTGATCAGAGACGAAGGACTTTGTTACCCACAGGAATAATAGCTGGAGTATCAGCAATTTCTTGGGCTGACTCCCCAAACTCCAGTTAGAAGAGGACAAGTTAAGATCTGCGTACACAGCGACGGCCTCATCGGAGAAGTATCCGGAGCTTAAACAACCAAACCTTTTATGATGGACAGTCAGCTTGGTCTTTGCCCAGAGGAAAGCACTCTCTATCGTCCATGACGGTCAGCAAACCTGGACTTTGTTGTGGAATGAACCACTCCCTCTGTCTTTTAAGGGTTTCCTATACCAACATCCTAGAAAAGATAGTCTGGACAGGCCATCAGTGCCTCTGCATTACAAGACATGCAGAAATGTGAGGGAGCCGTGGACAACTGCCTTCTCAAAATATCCACCCCTGGTTCTATACATTATATTGGATGCTGGAGGATTTTCCCATAAGAACCCTAGTCCGTCAGCCAGTCTGACTGATCTGAAAGAAGCCAGAGCAGATCTGTTCACTGTGTCTCATGCAAAACGTGTTGAAGGCCACTTGTCAACAAACCATCAGGCTGCAAGATGAGAGGCAACCTATGTTACTGATTTCAGGTGTGACCCCCCAAGGTCCTGTACACAGCCAGCTGGACAAGTCCCATTAACCACTAGGGTCTGTCTGGGAAAGTCAGATAGCTTTCTCAGCTTTCCAAATCGACCTTCCTACTTGACCTGAGGAATAAACCAGGTAGAGTCAGAAGCACGTGATTGCAGACTCCCCCTCAGCCGATGGGGAGGAAGTCCAGGCCATTCTGTCATCTCAAGGATGCTGGCCAGTGAGCTAAGGCAGGCCTGCCTCCCTTTCAGCAATGATCATTGATCGCTACAGATAAAATCAGGGACATAATTCACACCACCTTTTATCATTGATAACTCCCATTGTAGGAATAACTGCACACAGTTTCTGAGAGTAGTTCCCCACAGAAACCAAGAGGAGTTTCATTTGGGGAGATCCCTGCAGTCACCTGAGGGCTACATGATCCCCTAGTAGTATTTCCATAACACATAAAGGCCTCTTATGACCTTACATAAGACACAATTTTGGGGAAGGTGGCAAGGTAATAACTATCTTCTACACTTAAAGTATTTTCCCGGACTCCCTGGAAAGTATTCACAGTTTAGGGGCTTCTCCTTTAAGCGTATAGATTGACATTGCCTCCAGTGGTCTCTCAGCTGACTAATAAACCTTGGAGTTCCCACGTCAGTTTCAGTAATTAAATTGGTTCCTTGTTTTGAGAAGGATCTCCTATGGCAGTTAGTCCAATCTGTCCTGTCTGTCTACACCATCAGCCGGTGGCATTTATTCACCCCAGTGAATGACTGAATGAAGGCTAGACCTAGGGGTGGGGACTCATCTGGAAAATGGACAGGATGCTCTGCACGGAATGTCCAGGAGTTGGAGCCGCGCTTGGCTGTTGCAGACAGACAGACTTGTAAGATGAGACGCAGTGGCAATCAAATGGGGCTCAGAGCCTGAGATTTGTCTGGGGAAGGCAGATGCAGTGGTTAGTTTAATTTAAGGCATTTATAACCATTTGAGAAAATGACATCAGGATGTTTTCCTTCCTTATAAAGAAAGGCAGCATTCAGAGGCTTTGAAAGAGAAGAGGTTATTAATGCTCTATTCTGCACTGTTCATCCGAGCATCAAAGGTGCTCCCTCTATAGATGGCAGGGTCATTGGTCTTCCTCCACCACCACAAAATCATTGGGGCATATTTAGTAGTAATAACTTTACCTCTCTTCTATTATTTTTGCCAGATCTTTCATCAGAAAATCAGGTGCAGGAAGGACATGCGATATATTTGTTAAGCATAATAAAAATCTGTTTTGATCTCGTATATCCTGTTTCGGTCAGACTGCCACCTAGAGAGTGTATCTTTGGTTTTCAACAGTTTGATTATGATTTGCCTACCTGTGGTTATCATTTTTATATCATCCTTGGGGTTTATTGCTCATCTCCTGTCAAAAGCTTGTCTTCCCCAAACTGGAAGGATTTGAACATTATTGATCCAAGTATTTCTTTTGCCCTTTCCCTTGTGATTCCATTTACATGGTGGTGGGGTCACTCGATATCATCCCACAGGTCTATGAGACTGTGTTAATTTTTTCAAAACAAATTCGAATTTTTAAGAGAAACGTGTTTGGGTTTCCTGTTTAATAGCTTTACTGAAGTATGATTTAAACATGCAAAATTTCCCAAATGTGAGGAGTATTGCTTGGTTAATTTTAATCTTTGTATGTGGCTACACAATTTCTACCATGGTCATATTCTAGAACATCTTCCTCCTGAGGTCACTCAAGCCCCTTTACAAGGGCTACTTGCAAAGAACCCAGAGTGCTTCATTCTCCACGAAGAGGAGAGCTGCTTGCTAGACCTTTCCTTTCTCTTCTTTACCAAACTCACATCCCTTTGTTAGCAGCCCCTCCTGTGCACTCACCATCATACCTGCTTCCTTCCTTGAGAGTATCCTGAGGGCCCAGTCCTTTGCAGAAAATAAAAAATGGTTTTTGGTAATGAAAGCAAAATGTTTACAATCTTCTCTCACTGGGTCCTTACAGAGAAGTGACTATCCAGGCTAATGAGTATCACTTTAAGAATACAAAATCATGTTTCTCCTCAAATCTCTGTACATTTTGTGTTTTTCTATATATTATGAAGCAGATTCTCTTGGTATATTACTTCTGTGTTTATCTAGAATTGGGGCCCCTAGAAAAGATGAAATCTGTTTGAATCATCTGTGTGTCCAAGTATAGAGTTTTCGCAGATGACTGCTTTAAACATAAATATGAGGACACAATTGTAAGCTTTTAGTACTTACGTTTTAAATACAATTTTATTTCCAAATATGCAACATTTTCACCAACAAAGACAATTTATGTAATGAATGCACAAAGCACGTAGTCTCTGCAAAGAGAGGTGGGTGAGGGAGGGGAGGTGGGTGAGGGAGGGGAGGTGGGTGAGGGAGGGG